GGTGGAAAGGAAGCAGGACATCCTGCACTGTGGTCACAGTCATTAAAAATTTGTCTTCATCAACATTGAAACTAATTTGGAGTGCATGGAGTAAATGAAGGAAATGATCTGCACAAGCAGATGATGGATGTGCTTTTCCAAACTAAACTTCAGTTCAACCATTTTAGTATTTGGTTTACATAATTGGAAAGCAAATTGCAAATTCAGTAGAATGACAATGGAAAAGACAATATCCAGACAGTGGTTACAGATCATTAAGTATTTAGATTGAAATTGCAAAACTGAACAAAACATACCTGTGTCAAAAATAAAAAAATTAAAATAGTGATCAAAACCACCCTACTAATAGCACATTGTTCTCAAGCAGAAAAAGAAAATGTTATAAAAATAAATGAACAAACTTTCTTCTCTACTTAAAACCCCACTGGGTTTAATCTGAATTGGGTTTATATACTCATGGGACAAAGATATTTGAACATAGACTTGTGGGAGAATACATGCCATTTTTTAATTCCCTGACAGTTCTTAAGCAAGTAGAGGTTCAAACAGATTTTTTTCTGTAGCTTTCTGGACAAATATAAACCAAATCAAGACAACATCAAACAAGCAAACAGCTAAGTTTTGTTAAAAAACTATTGGACAGGGAACGTGGAATTGGAAAGTGGCTTTGAAGCTGATAAAAGATTGTCATTGAAAGACTGTTTATTTTCATGAACTGATAAAAGGTGCATAAAACGAGAGAAATTATTTAGGGCATACTTTCCATATTAAAATGACTAAGGTTGTTTCTGAATTCCTCTACTTTCAGATTATGTATTTGAATTTGAACTTGTTCACTGTTGAAGTATGTTCTTTAGGTGTGTAGTATGAAAGCAATTTACTCTGTTGTTAAATAAGTACAATTTAGCAAGAAGGGACACTTTTTCTGCTCGGCTAATAGTTTTCCGGCATTTAAAAAATAAAATAAAATAATATTTGAATCTGACCGCTTCTCTGCACCTGTGGCCTTATGGGAAAGCAGTGGTTGCACACTTCAGAATCTCAACAGATGCTGTGTGTCAACCAGGTATTGTTTGTCTGTTTCATAAATACTGCATATCCTATTCATTTGGTGTTATCTTTTTGCATATTATATAGGAAGGAAATGAACATCTTTTGAGCAAAATTGACCCTTGACCTCTGTATCTTTTAGAGGACAGGCTATTTTTGTCCGATAAGCTCATTAGTTTAAACTCATTAGTTCTATGGCGGTTGAATCATGCACACATGCAGTACATTCTTCATAGTCGACTGTGTCCTTGATGTGCCCAGACTGTAGAGACATTCAGTTCAGCTGAAGTTTTAGGTTTGAGGGAGCATGATTAAGATTCCTCATTCTGAGAGATCTTTGATTCACACTGATGACAACGTGATAGCCTGTGGAAATGAATAGCTCGGGCCAAGAATAAAACTGATCTGTTGATTAGATATTTTGGTGGACGCATTCCAAATGAGGCTGTAAGGGGAAAAAAGACAGGACTTTGCAAGGGTGGCCAGTACATTTTGTGATTCACCTGTTGAGATGCAACAGTCCCGAGGCAGAGGGTGAGACAGGGAGTACATTGAAACTCAATCTGTGTAATCAAATTAGTTTTCAGTTTCTTTATATTATTCCTATTATGATTTCAGAGCATGACAATGTTTATTATATTACAGAGAAGGTTATCAAGCACTGAGATCTTATAATGCATTATCACAATGAGGTCATCATGCAAATTGTCACAATATACTGTAATATTTTAAAATGCTACGAGTTGACAAAAACCCATTTGTACTAAATAAAACCATTTCATTTCCTATTTGTTTACGGCAGTGCATTAATGAGATTAATGATTAGATGCACAGTAGTCTCGTGTAGCCAGATCTCTGACTAGACTGCAAGGTCTGGTCCATATTCTAGCCTTGAACTGCCCACATGTCACGGAACACTGAGAGAAGACAAGGTTAGATCCATGTGCAGAATGTTTATTAATGTACTAATAATCAGAACAAAAACGTGGTAAAGGGGTAATTCAAAACACAGGGAACAAGAAATAGGACGCAACTAAATCAATACTGCCGTTAAGACAGACAGAGTGAGCATGGAATAAATAGTGACGGGATGATGAGTAAATGACCAACAGGTGATCATGATCAGAACAGAGACTAGCAAAGGACTATGGGAAACAGAGTTCAAAACATGTAACAGTGAAATGGGAAGAGCGCCCTCAAGTGGCCAGTCCAGGGCACCACAACCAGACATTGTGACATAACACCCCCCCTTCTACGGAGCAGATACCAGACGCTCCACCAGAAAACATAAAAGTTCAGGAGGGAGGTGGAACTGAGGCGGACCAGGGGGAGGGATGGCGGGCCAGGACCATACAATGGAAGGGGGTCAGGGGACAGATGTAGACCAGGGTATGCGAGCGGAACCGACAGGATGGAAGGCCAAGGCGGGGCCGGCAGGATGAACCAGCAAGGCTCCAACCATACAGGAACCCCAGCAGATACCCAGGACGGAGCCGGAGGAGTGAGCCAGTGAGGCACCTGCCAAACAGGAACCCAGGCGGGCAACCAGAGCAGAGCCGGAACCCTGCCAGGCAACACTGGTGGGACAGAACCCTCTCAGCGACTCAGGGAAAACCTGCCAGGCAACACTGGTGGGACAGAAACCCCTCTCAACGACTCATGGAAAACTGTAAACAAGAGCAGAGAGAGTTTAGTACCAGCCTCGACGGCTGCAACAGGACAGGCCGATTGCTCCGCAACGGTCCCTGTGAGCTCCCGGACTGGAGTGACTTCCTTAATGAGCTCTGAGAGCTCCTGAACTGGAGCAGGCTCTGAAGTGGACCTTGTGAGCTCCCGGACTGGAGCGGGCTCAGGAGTGGATTCAGAGGGCTCCCGGATTGGAGTGAGTTCCTTAATGAGCTCTGTGGGCCCCTGGACTGGAGCAGGCTTTGGAGTGGACCCTGTGAGCTCTCGGACTGGAGCGGGCTCAGGAGTGGACACTGTGAGCTCTCGGACTGGAGCGGGCTCAGGAGTGGACCCTGTGAGCTACCGAACTGGAGCGGGCTCAGGAGTGGACACTGTGAGCTCCCGGACTGGAGCGGGCTCTGGAGTGGACCCTGTGAGCTCTCGGACTGGAGCGGGCTCAGGAGTGGACACTGTGAGCTCCCGGACTGGAGCGGGCTCTGGAGTGGACCCTGTGAGCTCTCGGACTGGAGCGGGCTCAGGAGTGGACACTGTGAGCTCCCGGACTGGAGCGGGCTCTGGAGTGGACCCTGTGAGCTCTCGGACTGGAGCGGGCTCAGGAGTGGACACTGTGAGCTCCCGGACTGGAGCGGGCTCTGGAGTGGACCCTGTGAGCTCTCGGACTGGAGCGGGCTCAGGAGTGGACACTGTGAGCTCCCGGACTGGAGCGGGCTCTGGAGTGGACCCTGTGAGCTCTCGGACTGGAGCGGGCTCAGGAGTGGACACTGTGAGCTCCCGGACTGGAGCGGGCTCTGGAGTGGACCTTGTGAGCGCCCGGACTGGAGCGGGCTCTACTGTCCTCCTTCTCGCCCTCAGCTGCTCAGTGAGAGTAGGAAAGGCAGGGGTGGTGGGAAAATCCCTGCGCAAGTAAGGTTAGATCCATGTGCAGAATGTTTATTAATGTACAAATAATCAGAACAGAACAAAAACGTGGCAACTGGTAATTCAAAACACAGGGAACTAGAAACAGGACATAACTTCAGAAAGACTAGCAAAGGACTATGGGAAACAGAGTTCAAAACATGTAACAGTGAAACGGGAAGAGCGCCCTCAAGTGGCCAGTCCAGGGCACCACAACCAGACACTGTGACACCACGTAGACAGGAAAAGTGGTTTGTATTGTTCATGCATCTCACTTAAGGGCGAGATTGTCTGAGATATGTTATACTACAGTAGTGTGGAAAAACTCATTTAAATAATAGCTTCAACAGCTTCAAACAGTTCTTTCAAAAAGATTTAATGTCACTAACCTTGCAAACTTTGGCAAATGCAATGATCATTTTATTCTGTGCTTGCTGTGTTAAATGAATAGTTCACCAGAAATTAAAATTTGCTGAAATTTTTTTTCACCCTCAGGCCTTAGATGTAAATGAGCTTGCCTTTTCATCAGAACAGATTTGGAGAAATTTAGCATTTCATCACTTGCTCACCAATGGATCATCTGCAGTGAATGGGTGCTGTCAGAATGAAAGTCCCAACAGCTAATAAAAACACCACATTATTCCACAAAAAAATTTACATGACTTCAGCCCATCAATTAAAGTCTCATGCAGCGAAAAGCTGCATATTTGTAATAAACAAATATGTCATTATGATGTTTTTAACATTTGGCAGAAAACATGAAACTCAATTGAATTCCTTCAAGTCGGGAACCTTGGTGTCATTTTGGAATGAGATCTTTATAGCCATTTAACTCATCTGAAAAATATAACAAAATTAGAAGCTTTATATCCAAACAAGACTGAGAAAAACGAATTCACGCAATCATCACCAGCAGGTGGACAACTGCAACGAACTCATTTTGAAGCCTTCCCAGAAAGATCATTAGACATCTGCAGTTCACAAAATACTGCTGCCAGTCAGGATTCTGACCATAACCAAAAAAATAAATAAAAATAATACAAAAAAAAAATTAAAAAAGGATGGAAAAAAACCTTTAAGAAAAAAGATAAATATGAAAAATATAAATATGTAAACAAATACGTATATGTAAAATACACCATAAATTAAAATATGCTATAGCCTACATATAAGTATGCATATATGTATGTTCCTAAAATACTTTGAATTACCGTTGTAGCCTTGCTTCACCTTTGTAATTAATAGCAAGCATGCTGTCATGTCGCTGGCTGTGTCGATCTAACAGTTTGTTGTTTTCATCGTTTCGCCGTCTAGCAGGCTCATCACATTGGGTGACTGCTCTAGTCTGCCTCGGGTCGCACCACGATCGAGCATCTCGGCGGTTGCGCTCACATCATCAGTCGGCATGAGAGGGAGGACACGGCTGCTGCGGAGAACCGACTGCGCCGCGATAATTACAACCAGATTTCTACCAATGTAGTCAACAGCACCGGGATCCGGGTTGTTTGTTTAAATTAACACGGGGCAGACAACGTGGCTGGAAAGGGAGTCTGCAAAGACGTCAGACTATCTAGTGAACTGCCTACATAGACAGCTTTTTGGACATCACTCTGCGTTCGTGCGCGCTCCGGGCAGCATTCATTTACTGTCGCTGTCCACACACACATGTACAGTATGTGTGAACGTGCGGAGAAGTTGAAGATGCCACTCTGAATCATCTGGGCGCTTGGATCGACGGTAAGAGCACGTATTTATTATGGGGAAATTCAAATACTGTTACCAACTTGATTTTATTAAGGAGCATAGGGACTCGCACCTGTGCACTCAGCCTCTTCCTATCAAAACAATCTTCCACATTCTCCGTCGTTTTTCACGGGTCTGTGTTGTGTTTCATGCCCAAAGCCTCAAAGTTGTCAGATGTGTTTTCCTCTGTTGACATCTGGGGTATTTAAAGAGAAATAATAGGTGACTCAAATGGCATAAAGTAAGGACAGATATAACCTACATGTGTCATATTGCCCTTAAGGCATTGAAAGCTTGGTATGGCTGTAATGGGTGAGATTTATTTAAAGAATGTGAACTTTATAGAACGTCGTGGCTTTGTATCCTGTTATTTATTTGTATTCTTGAGTAGTCTTAAATTCTGGAAAAGTCTTTTCTTTTTTGTAGAAACTGAATGTGGGGTCAAAGAAGCACTTGCTTCAGTCATGGATGTTTTAGAAGATTTCAGACAAACATCTGGCAGGGAATGATGTGCATGTGGCTTAACAGGGGCTTAACTTTCACGTGGGTTAGTTTAAGATCTGGCTGAATCAAAGTTAAAATGACTGTAATTTGGGAAGCTGGATCTTTAAGCAGTTTTAGAAGCGTCCTGTAGTGTGACCAGGGTCAGAAATTATCCATGGCTTGGGAAAAAATGACACCAAAAGTCGCAAATGCCCTAAACATTTATAATATGGGGCAAAAGTATTTTATATATTTAATGATATCCTATTCTCTAGATAAAGTTTCGGTCTCAGAGTGACCTGTATAGTTGCCACAAAGGTGAAGAATGTAAATTTGATGAAAGATAAGAAAACTATATAAAAAATTTAATAATATAAAATAATATAAAATTAAATTCTATAAAAATATTTAAAACAAACAATGAATAGATGATAATCTATTCTGACACTGGATGTGAAATGGCATAATTCAATTAAAACTGATTTAAACAAAGATTTCTCAGCTTGTATTATACAGTGTTTATGACCATATTAATTAAGATTCTGCGTAGAATATATGTACTTTTCATAAGTTCATTTTTCACACTGCAAAACCATTTAAAATGAACTAGTAACAGCGATTTTAAATGGTGGCCGGTAACAGGATATAAGAGGACTTTCTGTTACACACATGTACATTTTAACTTAAAATCTTGATGTTGAATAAAAATAAATATATGGAGATGTTATATGTGAGCCATCCAATTACAGTCTTGAAAGAGTATGAGCATTTTTAAACCATAAAACCTAGCTTTCACAGTATGTAGTTAATGCCCTGTCATAACCTCAGAGCAGCATCTGTAATACTTTGAGCCATTTGGACCAGTAGTTCCTCCCCTAGTGGGGTAAATCATTCATTGCAACAGATACAATCATACTGTGAAGGCTTTCTATATTTGATCAAATTCAAGAGATCTCATATCAGGTGTCAGGTATTAAAGGTAAATATTAAATTACACTACATGATGTAAGGTAAGTCATTATTGAAAAATTTTTAGTTGAATTTTGACCTTTATATCATAAAAAGCTGAAATGTTTATTAAGATGTTATGATTAGTTAGAAAACCACAGCACTGTGATAAATGGCTATCATTATAGGAACAGATGGGGCTTGCGAGACATGTCTTCTACCATCTCCCTATTCTGTCCTCAGTACTTTTGACCTGTGGGCAGTATTACTGATTCAGACATAAAGCAGCACTCCATGCACTTTAGATTGGGAACCAGCGCCCATGTTTAATGCATCTCTACCCTCCTAGACTGTTGAATGTGGAGAAGTGTCTCAGAGAGAGAGAACATTTCTAATGAGAATAGTATTTTAGATGCAGTAAAGCCCTTTTGTGAGAGGAAAAGTCTCAGAGAGACTGAGATTAAATAAAAGAAGGGTTTACCGAGGGAGCGAATCCCTCCGTATATTTTACTTAGCTCAGTATAGCTCACTTTTGACTATCAAATCTACAAAGCCTTCATTAATAGTATATAGTGATGTTCTGTACCCAATTGTATCTTTTCATTTTTTTCAGATGGATAACATTTAGAAGTCAAATTAGAGAGGATGACATTATTAGCAAATTATTTTGTATGTGCAACTGACAGTCTATTTTGTCCAGCATTTGGAAAACTAGAAGTATTAGAGGTTGCAGGAACATGTAGGTTATTCATGGCAATGTAACATTCAAAGCCCTTTGAGGAAAAATAAACCATGTATATTTCATACACACTTCTGTGTTAAACTCAGGACCTCGACTGTAAGTTTAGAATTTAAACCTTTAATCATAGCAAATCAGCAAACTTAGTTATATCAGGATGCTTTTATATTGCTACTGCTGCTTATTTTTGCTAAGAGGAAAAGTTGCAGATTCCAGAAATTGTGTATGATTACCTTATAGCAAAGTTCAACACTAATTGTACCGTTGGGACTCCTGAGGGAGTTTTAATAAACTGCTTTTCACACAGTAAGGGGGACCCACAGCAGCACTTGGCATTAGTGTTTCTCCAAAGGCTTAAGCTGCAACATCCCGCTTATCAACTCATGAGTGTCCTTTCATGAGCGAGTGAGCCAAGTCAGATATAAGGAGCGTGGGTCGGCATTATTCAACAGACAATTACACGCATTCCGAAAGCTAGAAGTACCTGCTGAGGTAAATGGTAATTAGCTGTCCTATTTTAATCCACTATAGATGTGCTCTGACATGAGGATGCCAGGCTTTGACTGTGGCAGAGGATTAAGGTGCCCGTGAATAAGTGTAATAGGTGGGAAAGGTGTGTCAACGTTGTCTCATCCTGCTCTCGTGTGTATCCACAGTTTCCATCGCTGTTCTAGCGCTGACCTCTGATTGGGCACTTCAGTGCCAAGAACGCTCACCCTGAACAGCTGTTATCCTGCGAATAAAGGTGCGGCCACACTGGCTTTAAGCATGCTAAGTTTCCCTGCAACAATTAATGGCAACTGGTGTTTTTTTTTTAAGAAAATAAGAAAATAACTAATAATAATAATAATAATAATTCAAATGTGAAATATAGCAACAGGGTTAGATGCCATAAGATGCCATGCTTTAAGACTTCTGTTTTAAATAATTCACAAATAATTATAACTATGTCATTTTTATTAACATTATTGTTATTAATATTGTGTGATTTAATAATAGGCATAATATTTGTAATAATATTTCTGATTAGTATTATTATAATAATAATAATAATCAACTTATATGACACAATTAGAGAATATTGCATCCGATTGCATTTTTTCCTGCAGCAATTATCAGCAACAGGATTTGATATTATGCTTCTGTTTTAAATAAATAATACATAACAAAAAACTGTAAGTATGCAATTATTGTTATCAGTGTTGTTAGTGTTGTTATTATTATTAATTATATATTTTATTAATTATATAATATATAATATGTGATTAACAACAACAACAACAATAATAATAATAATAAATACATTTATATGACTACTACTACTAACAACAATTAATTATTTAAATGATGACTTGGAAAATTCAGAATGGGAAAATATAGCATCTGCTCCAATTTCGTACCATAATTATCAGCAACAGGATGTGATGTAATTTTATAGGGTTTCTGTTTTAAATAAAGAATATATCAGATAATAAATCAAATATTATAACTATATTATATAAATATTATAATGTAATTATTATCATTATTGTTATTAATATTTGTTATATAATATTTGTGATGGTTATTATTTTTATTCTACATTTATATTACTACTACTACTGCTAACTGTAATTCATAATTTATGTTATTGATAATTTCAAATGGGAAAATAAAGCACCTATTCCACTTTTCCACAATGTTGCATGCCGTGCATCTTTATTTGTATTCTTTGTATTGAGCCAAGAGGCCAATGTTTTACATTTACAATGTTTTACACGTTTACATCCTCTCATGGTCAAGTTTTTTCTCTATACGAGTTCACCAAACTCAGCAAAATACCATACTCCACATGAGCTTGCATTTATGCTCTCCAGCATTTGCATGCATATAAAGAAAGAGAACCGAGCACAAAGTCCAGTGTGACCGCAACTTTACCCTTACAGACCACAAATGCTGGTTATTATTCAATGAGGCCTGTCTTAAACCTGGATGTGAACTGTTTTCTGTTTAAGATTGTGATTTAACAAGGTTAAGGTGTTGCTTGGGTGCATTGAGTTCAGTTGAAGGACTACTGATGTGATGCATGTGCAGGCGCTAATTGTGTCTGTCTTCCACTCTGTGAAAGGTGAAATTACTCTCAGGACAGTTGAATTTAATTTTCCTCGCATGGGGAGGAAGAAGCAGGGTTTTGGCTCAGTGGTTTTGATGAATGCAGGCTGAGAGAGGGTGAGGAACAAGCCGAGTCACTGAATAGTCATAAGAGGAGGAAAGTGGGAGGAATCTAGGCCATCTGTTAGAGTTAGCAAGTGATATTTTGTGGGCAACAAAATGACGTCGTTCAACCGCACAAACAGGCTTTGTTGTGATACTTGACGCCAAAGCCTGATTTGTTAGAGTCAGAGAGGTGCTTTGGCTTTCTCTCTGCTTTAGATATTTTAAAGGGGTCATATGATGCTTTTTTAAAGATCATTATTTTGTGTATTTGGTGTAACAGAATATGTTGACATGCTTTAATGTTCAAAAAACACATTATTTTTCAAACCCTGACATGTTGCTTCAACACTAACTGCGGTTACTGACACCATGCCTTCTTTCTTTGCGTGCACATTTGCGGCGGGATTATGCAAATATTTCCACATAGTGGGGTAGATATGTGGGGGCGTGTTAGAATGAGCCGTTTTAGGGGGGCGTGGCAGAGTCTTAACTTTGATAAAGAATATCTCTTTGGTTTTGAGACTTTAGTCTTTGCAACTTCAGGGATCTTATCTATGCACAATCAGCTTGTAACACTCCAAAGAGAAAGGAAAACTTGAAATCGCATCATATGACCCCTTTAAGACAAAGCTCATATTTAAGCAAAGTAACATGCCAAGTAACATTTTTTTTCTGTCTAAAAAAATTCAAGCATAAAATCAGAAGCTTTATATGCTAACATTATAATGTATGACAGATGGATAACTATTGCTTTTGAATAAATAAGTCCTCATTTTAATAGATTTTTTTACACTACCATTGAGAAATTTTAACCAAACTATGTTACAGACTTTTCATTAAGACCCTAAAGAATTATATCAACTTGTGGAAAATGGGCATCCTATGACCCCTTTAAACTTAGATCAGTAATACTGGTTGATAGACCGATTGGATTAAAAGCGACTGATTTCAATCATTTAGACAAACAGTATTTGATCATGTTAACAGTTACACATGTTTACATTTCACGAGACAACACTGTGAATGAATAACTGACTTCTGTGATACCAATCTAAACAGTGCACTTTCTTCTCTAAATTAAAACAAATAGACTTCAGTTTCTCCATTATTTGTTTATTGCCCGGTTTAATTTTAGATACAGCTCCTGAATATTTATTATTTACATATTTAACAGCATCAATATTTAAACTGACTTTTCAACACTACTTTTGTTTGCAGATTTGAAGGCTGCTTATTGGATGAATAAAGGTAAACATCAAATTATGCATCTACATGTTACTGTTTTTATAGAGCTTATGACCTAATAAATAGGTCTTGCTGTAGGAACAAATGGTGCAGGCAAATTATGTATATGGTTAGCTGCAAATTAACTAGCTGCTAAGAAAGCAGTATGTTATAGTGATGTTGTCTTTACAAGTGTTCATTTCTTTAGTTGTTTTGTTGTAGTCTGAACAATCTGTTCTTTGTTATTATGTTATACATTGTTATTGCTTCTTGAGCATGGGTAATAATTAAAACCTTGATTATTTTGTTAATCATAATTATCTTGTTTTCAGAGTTGAATGCCAACACAAGGGGCAATTATTAAGTGATGGTAATGTTTATTTTATTAGTGTATGAGAATTAATCGTTTTGCACATTAAGGGCTCTTGATTAGATAAAATGAGATTATATGAGTTAGATTAGAAGTCAGATACTTTCGGCAGTAAAGTAAGACAATGGAGAAGTGAGGTGGGTGGTAGAATTTTAACTTGATTTTTGAAAGCACATGTTCACTGATAATAGATTATAATATTTTATGCGAGGCTCAGTTACAGAAATATGGCCGGAAAAATTTATTTATTAAAATGTATGTTTTATTTTTCATTAGCACTTTCATATGTGGTTTGTAGTATGTGCTGCAGAGGAAAAAGACTGCCAGTTGTTTGGTCAAGCGCTGTAGTGTCCTGCTTTAGGTGACTCATTGTATCTGACTCATCAGTGTGACTTATTTTGTGCTGCTCATTTGAGTGACAAGACATGATGTCCCTCTGCTATTGGCTCGTTTGCTACAGCATAATAATATCAAATCAACAATCCTTGGTTGGCTGGTTATATGCATGCAACTGGTGGCATTGATATACTGTTTGTTGGAATTTTTAACTTTCAGTTTTGTTTAGTTTTTTTTACATATGGGTCAGGGGAAAAATATGCAATTTTGTTAACACTTTACAATAATATTTTCACAATACATTTTTATTTTCTTAAAGGAATAGTTCAACTAAAAATGAAAAAAAGAAAAAAAAAAGAAAATAAAATTTGCCGAAAATGTACTTGCCTTCAGGCCATCAAAGATGTAGATAAGTTTGTTTCTTTATTGGAACAGATTGGGACAAATTTAGCATTACATCACTTGCTCATCAATGGATCACCTGCAGTGAATGGGTGCCGTCGGAATTAGAGTCAAAATACCATTTATAATCCATAATAATGCTTTCTCTAGTGAAAAAGACCATCCCCTGTTGTCCTCTCACATTCAAATCCACTGATATACTTGTTTAGAAGTGTTTTCACTTGTAAATGGTACTTGAGAGGAGTTGACTTTTTCACTGGAGAAAACATTACAGAAGTTAAATTTGAAAAAACAGTTGAAGTTAAAAGCATGATGGATGTGTTTATTACAAACACACAGCTTTTCACTATCATGTGAATTTCTTGTGAATTATTGTGTTTTTATCAGCTGTTTGAACTCTAAGTCTGACGGCACCCATTCACTGCAGAGGCTAAATCAAAGCTAAATTTCTCCAAATCTGTTCTGATGAAGAAACAAATTCATCTACATCTCAGATGTCTTAAATAAAGTGGCACACAAAATTGACATTATATATCTTGTTTTCATCTCAAACATGTCCAAAACTTACAATAAGCATTTCACTTTGTGTCACTCATGTATACTGCTTGTTACTGTCTGTTTATGTTGTTCCTGTTTCAAGATAATTTTGCTTTCAATACAGTCTGTGTCATGTGAAAGGCTTTTATTTGCATGATCAGGAAAAATTTATTCAGACTACAAAAGGTAGCCCATTACAGAGCACATTAATTCCATGCATTACTCCTTCCAGCCTTCAGGGGTTTTGGGTATTGGCACTCACATGAAAGGAAGAGACGAGCATGCTCAGAAGAGCTCTCTCATTTCCAACTCTCCTGCATCCTAACATGTGTGCCTTTAGGTAACAGTCAGCAGAAGAGACACAACATATCCCCAAGATGTCCTTTCTTTTCCAGTAATACTTCTTATATTGTCAGTGCTAAATCAGTGGCCATATTATGTAGGCTAATGTAATGAAAAATGCTAGTACCTCATTTGTCGCACATAGACATTTCATTACTATTTCACTGCTATTTCATTACCTTCACAAAAACAAGTTGATGCACACGGATCTGGAGCAGAGAGATGTTCCGAGCAATGGGGACAGTGAAGATTGTAATGTCTGGTAATAGGCAGCCTGTCAGTTCGGAGCCGTCTTCTCAACTCAAAGGAAGCACGCAAAAGTTCTCCATGAAATATGC